ATCTCTATCTATCTCCAGAGTGGCCTTGAACTCACAGTGATCCCCTGCCTCAGCCCCGAGTGCTAGGATTACAGGTATGTGCCATCGTGTCCAGCACCATTCTGTTGCTGGTCATAAGGCCACCTCTAAGATTTACCTACCACGAGCTGTGCTGCTCTAACACGTGTGTGCGCGGATCCTGTAACAGGATGGACAGTTCTGCTGCGGTTCTCTCCCTTCCGTGGACCTCCCTCACCCCTGCTTTAATTTCTGCATCAGCAGTGGCCATATCAAGGGAATGATAGGATTGCCCCAGACGTCACGGGGCAATCGGGAGAGCTGCTGATGCCGGGTCCTGCAGGGGACCTGTGCCCTCCACACCACCCACAAGGCACACAGCCAGCCTCAAGCAGTGCCCTTGTTTGTGTAGGGTGGCAGCTACCAGGGCAGCTTTGCTTCCCTCTGTCCTGGGACTTCCAGGCTGCTGGACTTTAGGTCTGGAGCCTCGAGGGCAGGCCCTGCCTAAGGAAGGGCCCTGGGAACACTGAGCCAGCCCGGTACACAGCCTCGAACTCCGAGGGAAAGGTCTGCGGGTGCCCACTAAGCCACAGTGGAGACTGAGGTGCAGGCAGGGGGAGCCCCCTGTAGTGTGGGGGCAGCCCAGGTGGGCTGTGAACCAGGCCGGAGGTCCCAGAGCCCTCCTCTAGCCTACATGAAGGGAAGTGTCCCCGAGAGTCACAGTGACTTCCCAAGTCTCACTCCTGTCACTGGGGTGTCGCAGGCCGCTTCCCTGGGCTCTGTTGCCCTTCCGAGTCCCTCCCCCAGCCTGCTTCCCCTGCACCTCTGGGGAGCTGAGGCCTCCAGGCTTTCTGTTCTACATTTGGCTTCAGAGCCTGCGTCTCGCTCCAGCACCGGGCCAGCTTCTGCTTCTGCCTTGGTTTCAAATCCGCAGAGGCGCTGGGGCATCACAGAGAAGCCCAGTGCCCACGCTGGGCGGGCACCCACGCCCTCCCAGGAGGAGGTGGGCTGCCGCTGCCGGCCACTGTCCTTGGTGCTGAACGGGACGACAGGCTGTGAACACCCGCGCCGCCCCCGGGGTGTCCGGAAGCCGAGCTGCCCTTTCCCGGGGTCATCACTGCGTCCTGTCCCTAGGACCCCACAGGAGGCTTCTGGTGCCCCGCAGGCCTCCCCACAGCTTCTAGGCCCCTCCCAGGATATCTGAAGCCTGTGACCTCATGTTATGGTTGACAGAAGCTTGTCCCCTCCCCTGCCCCTGGAGTCCTTGGTGGCTAATGACGATGGCAGGGTCTGCACCTCTGAGGCCACTTCCAGAGCCCCTATCCTAGTCCTAGGCTCGAATGGCTGCTCAGTGGCTGCCACACACACAGCCACGCCACCAGGACCACCAATGACCTCCACACATCCTGCCTGGTCCCTGCAACAGGAAGTTCAGTGTTGTTCAAAGCACTCTAGCTTCTCTGTGCCCGTTTCCTCTCCCGAAAGGTGGCACTGGACCCAGAGCTGCCCCGTGGGGCTGTTAGAATGGTCAGACAGAAGGAGGCATGAACTCAGGGCCTCGGCCCGCGTGCCAGCTGCCACCCATCCCTTCACCTGACAGAACCAGTGCCAGGGCCTTGCTCCCCCCTAATTTCTGTGGCAATTGCTTTCAGTTTCAACTGTGGCCTGGTTTGAGGGAGGAATTACAAGCTCATCCTTGAGCGAAGAAGAAGAAGAAGAAGAAGAAGAAGAAGAAGAAGAAGAAGAAGAAGAAGAAGAAGAAGAGGAAGAGGAAGAAGAAGGAAAAGAAAAGCTCATTTTCCAGTAGGGTCCTGGGATCGGCGGCCTATGATCCACCCTGCCCACTCGGGTCCCACAGGCGTCCAGGGTCTCCCCAAACCTGCTGCCCCACATCCTGTCCCCTCCCAGCCCAGCACTACACTCCTGGGCTTCCAGCAGAGGCTGTCCAGGTGGGAGGAGGTGCCCCAGCCAGGACCCAGGGAAAGCACAGTGCCCGCCCAGCTCCTCTCCTGGAGCCTGGGCCCCAGCCCCACCCCATCCCCAAGTAAGCCTCCCCACCTCGGCCCTGTCTATACCTGCTGTCCTCAAACACGGTCACCAGGCTGGACACGGAGGGCAGTTTCTCTCCATCTATGGGCTCCATCCCAAAGGTTTCCAAACCTTGCTGTCCCTAGAGAGGGAGAGAGCTCTCTAGTCTCGACTTTCTGGCTCCTGGGCTGCAGGACCTGGATGGTTTAGGATATCTTGGATTCTGTTTTGTGTCCTTCCTAAGGGCCCAGCAGGCCAGGCTCTGGGTTTCCGAATGAAGAAAGGGGAAGTGATCCCCTAGCTTTGGCCCACAAAGCGCTGTCCCTCAAGTGGGTGGGGCTTCGGTTGGTCGCCCCACCCACTGACCTTTCACCTCTGCGGACCTCCATCTCAGGAGCCACTTGTGAGGCCTATGGAGGCTCTGGAGCTGACCCTGCAGCTGTCCCGGTGGCTGACATGGCTCTGGCCAACCATGCTTTCTCCCTTGCAAGGTCCAGGACCTGCGTAATGGCCCCTTAATCAGCAACTTTTCTGCATCTGTCCCTGTTCGCTGCTGTGGAGAAGCAGCATTTTATTCTTTAATTTAAAAAGCAGGGGTCAAGGAGATGGCTCAGTGGAATAAGCACTTCCCGCGCAAGCGCAAGGGCCTGAGTTCAATCCCCGGTTCTGTCAAAAATAAAAAAAATAAAAAAATAAAAAACAGGATGCTTTCCTGTTAGTGGCTGCTGTCCCCAGGGAGGGCAGCTTCCTCCCTGACATGCTCAGAACAGTGAAGACGCATGGCTCAGCGCTCTGCTGGGTTCTCATCCAACCCTACAACAGCCTCCCCAGGTGAGCCCACTCTCTGTAGAGAAAACTGAGGCCACCCAGGAAGATCGCAAAAGAAGCCTGATTTGCAAGGTGAAGGAAAGCACCCTAGATTCCCGCAGCGATTTTCCAGGAGCCTGGGCGGTTGCTTTCCTGCCAGACACCTCCAAGCCACCTGATGTCCCAGCCTGCCCGGATCCAATGGTCACTATCTCGGTCCCTACACTCCGGTCCCCGGGCCAGGGAGGGCTCTCCCACTTCAGCGGCTCTCTGGTGTCCCAAGTCAAGGCCCCGCCGCCAAGATGGACCCATGTGCTGCAGTGTGGGAACCATGCTTGAGACATCTTGGTACCCAGGGAGCCCAGCAGAGTGTCACACTGCAGCCCTGTAGGCTCCTCCTGGCCTTGGCTCCCCCTGGACCTGCCCTGCCTCAGCCTCAGTGTTGCTGGGTTCTGTTTTTACTTTTTATCGTCAAGAATGCAGAATGCTGGCTGGCAAGATAACTCAATGGACTAAAATATCTATTCAGGCAAGCTTAGGCAAGCTCAAGGACTACAGTCTAATCCCCAGCACCACATGCCACAGCAGCACTGCCCCCAGAGCAGGCTGAGCCGGCCACAGAGTCTGGGCTTAGTGGTGTACACCTGTAATCCCAGCGCTAGGGAGGCTGAAAACTGGAGGATCACTATGAGTCTGAGCTGCATAGTGAGACCCTGTAACAACCAAATACATTAAAAAAAATACAGAATGCATGCAAAAATAGACAGGGGGGGGCCAGTGAGATAGCACAGTAGGATAAGTGCTTCCCTGGCAAGCGCAAGGGTCTGAGTTCAATCCCTGGTTCCACATTAAAAAAAAAAAAAAGTAGACAGAGGGGCCAGGGA